TGTGTCTATAAATTATCTGTACAATTTTGATAATTCGTTAAAAATTGAAAAAATCAAGATAAACCTACAGGGTTTATCGGGAAACATAAAAAGATAAAGCTTTATTTAAAGACATCAGAATACTTCATTGGTTGTCTCATAGCCAACTAGTAATATACGGACCCACATGTCACATAACAAACTGAATTCTAACAGGTCAATGTAATGTAAGCAAAACAAAAACTGTGAATGGCCGCTTCGAAAATTGTTAATCTAAAAGGGTGGTAACTTTAAAAATTGAATTCTTAGAACGTAAATTGAATAACGTACAATTACATAGAATTTATCAGAAGTTATTTCCATTCCCAAGACATGTTTTCAATACTAAAATGCATATTTACACGTTTTATTTTTTAATAATCCACGAATTATAAACGGCTGTGAGTTTTCCCGCTTTTATGATTTTCAGTTGCGTATACGACCCGTTTTGCAAATGAACGCTATAAGGTAAATTTTCTACCTCATAATCCACTGCGTTTAAAGATTAAATTATAAAGTTTGTCGTGATATTTTGTTTAAAAAAAATTGTTAACAAACGTGTTGCATTTGGCTGTTATAGTGGATATGTTACTAAAAAAAAAAAGTGAAAAGTATCGACATTTACTATTCATTTTGGAAAATCCAGCCTTGTAGAAAAATGGATAAAATTTGTTAATCGTATTGATTGGTTTCCCACAAAAAATTTCAGTTCTCTGTATGAAAAATTTCGAAGAGAAATATATTTTGAAAAGAAAAGAAAACAAAATGAATTGGGATTTACATCTACAATAAATTCAGAAAAAATAATGCCGAATACAAGGGAATTCAGAAAGCCTCTAAAACATCGACTGGTCCAAAATGATGAATTACATGATTTTATTTCAGCTTATACGATAAAGGATTTTACTCATTTGGAAGAAGAAAAGGGTTGTCCAACAGTTTTGAATTTTAAAAAAGTAAGTTTATATTCTAATATATATATTCTTTGACCCTGAAACACATTTTTCATCTATAAAAGAATGTATTTGCATTGACCAAAACCTTCACGTCCAGCTCCAGTGCAATGGAACCCCTACACCGTTAGAACAGTGTTTTATGCATGGACATAATGCTAAACTCACAAGATTTTGCATGTTAGAAAATTTTTCAAACCTACAAAAACGTGGTGGAAGAACAACCATATTCAATTCTCAAAGAATTACAAAAAAGACAACATTACCAACCAAGAAGTCGTCCTTAATTTTCTGCAGAAAATGTTATGTCTTACAACTACGCTATACGTCTCAGCAAACCTACAAATTACTTCTGGAGAAATTTCCATTACCATCTTTTTCTTTATTAGAGAAAATTCAAAAAAAATAAACGATTTCAATGTGAAATGTGTTCCTTGGTCATGGTAGGCAATGATAGTGATGATGCTACAGAGAAGCAGTACTTTGACTGACTTTTTTGAGGAGGTATTACGATTCCATCTAGCTAAATGGCAGAGTTCATTTGTGCTTGTTTTGCTATATTTAACTATGTAAAATAAATATTGAACCCTGTACAAGAGAGTCTGCTGGGGGAATTTTGGACATTTATTCTCCAAAATATGTTTTTATTTGTGAACAAAACACCGAAAAAAGGAATTCACTTTGAATCAAAAATTGTTGCGAATATATATATACAAAAATAAACGAAAGTTTTCATCGGATGAAGTTCAAAAAAATATTGTAGAATGTTTAAAAAAAAGGGCAAAGGCCAAAATAAAATTGGTTTATAGAGAAACTATTGGTAAGTTTTTTTTTTTTACTTGTATTTGTTTTTTTCTTTTTTTTTTTTTTTTTTTTTTATTTTTAAATTTTTATTTTTTTATTATTTTTTTTTTTTACTTGTATTTGTTTTGTATTATTTTTTTTTACTTGTATTTGTTTTGTATTATTTTTTTTTACTTGTATTTGTTTTGTATTATTTTTTTTTACTTGTATTTGTTTTGTATTATTTTTTTTTACTTGTATTTGTTTTGTATTATTTTTTTGTTTTACTTGTATTTGTTTTGTAAAGATAGTTTAATTTTTAATATTTAAATTTCGTTTGTTTACAATATTTTTTAATGTTATTTTTCTGTTTAAAAAAAAAAAAATTTTGCTTGCGTATTTTTTGTGATTGGTTTTAACATCTTTTTAGATAAAACAGGAATAAAATTGACCGTGTCTTTAAAACAAAATAGGCCTGTTAGAAATTGCCTGAAATGTAACATTTGGGTCGTATATATTAGTGGGCCGTTATTTGCAATCCAACACGTCAAGACGATTCTTCCATTTTGTTTAGTACAATATATTTCCTGTTGCTTTTTTGTGATCTAATTTGCTGGACCTGTGAATCTGATTTCCTCTCTTCTAAACCAGGATAAACTTTTTGCTTTCTCTTGTGATATTGTTATCTTCAGTAAAATTTAGCGTTCAATAGGTTGCCCTTTTAACATCTCTTTGAAAAAGACAAACGAAAGTTGAAATTAAATGCATTTCCTTCTATATATGAAATCGAACTTAAATAATAAAAAAACTTTAACGTGCAAAGAAATGTATTGATGTTTCTTAAATCTAATGAATATTGGGCCAATTTAAAAAAAATTACCGTGTCTTCAAACTTTGAACCGTAGTGTGTATATATGTATGTGTGTATGAGTTTGTGTGTGTTTAACTAGGATGTATAATATTATCCTTTAAAATAAAAAAATTTATTAACGACGCGTTTAACCGAAAGCGTCTGCTCTCTTTCACTCTCTGAGGTCTGATTGAAAATCAAAACTGTATGTGAGGAAGAACTTTAGGATCTATATTCAAGTTAATTTATGTCTTTTTTTATATATATATATATATATATATATATATATATATATATATATATATATATATATATATATATATATATAAAGGTGAAATATTTGCATAATCAATTTATAACGATTTTTACGAGCGCGTCAAAACGGCAAACGCGTTCAAGGAACTTTCATTACGGACAAAATAAAAAAAAAGGAACAATCGTTTTATTTATTTCATTAAGAAATTTAGGAAAGAACGATCAATTATTATTTTTTTTTTTTTTTACCCTGCCTGGTGGCAAAATGCTTCATTCTCTTGGGTATTATATATATTTATAAAGTGTTTTGAAACATTGAATCACGAAAAAATGGCTGATGAATTTAGGGTATTTTTCACTAAACACGAAATATGTTAAAAAAAAAAATGCATAGATAGATAAATAGATACAAATATTTAAATAACAAAATAGGTGGGAAAATAAAATATAATTGAAATAATTTAATGAAATATACTTTTAATATTAATTCATTATAAACATGCACTCCTCACACACACACACACACACACACACATATATATATATATATATATATATATATATATATATATATATATATATATATACAATAATTTGCTGAACCTTTCTCATCTTTCGTTTTGAATTTTAAATTCTCCTCCAAATATCAGAATATTTTGACAACTTTTTGTTGCAATGATAAATTTCTAGTACTTCCTTGTTTATGTAAAATAAAATTAAAAGCAAAAAATTATTAATTTTTATTCAAAATTCTGTTTCTTTAGTTTCAATATTTTTTTTTTTATAAATTTTATATGGGCATAGTTTATATCAAAATATATATATATATATATATATATATATATGTAAGCAAATATATGGATATAGATCCAACAGTATGAAGAAAAATATACGGAAAAAACAAACAAAAATCCTAATATGCAATAAATGCTGTTTTAATGTTAAATAATGTCAACGTCGGACGTTTCGGTCTAATAGACCATCATCTTCATAAAACATATCCAGAAAACATAATTAACATGAAAGACGATGGACATAAAAGACCAATCCAAACAGATAACTGAAATCTTTTATAAAATCAGCGTTCCGTTTAAATATGATCACGTCGTCGTCACGTGGGCGATGTTGTGAAAACGTATTCCTAAAATTTGAGTATTTTGAATGAAAAACGAAAAGAATTTTATTTTGATCTAAAACTTATATGTACGTTTGTCGAGCATTAATCTTGTTAGAAAATCAATAAATATAAATATATATATATATATATATATATATATATATATATATATAAATATTGAAAAAAGGAAAATAACACTACGAGTTTTATTGAAAAACATGCGTAAAAAATAAAGTTGGACACAGAACGTCTAGACGATATTCATTTTTCCATATACTAGTATTGTGCCAGACTTGATGTTCTTTTTTTTTATTTATTTCTACTTCATACTTTGTACTGCAATTCTGTTAAACCTGTGTGCCCGATTCACTCACTTATGAACCAGGATTTTACATTTCGCTTTCGCTTGTGATGTTACCATTTACCTTAATCGATCTTAAAGGCGACTGAAATGTTCTCAGGATCAATAAGAAGCACTTTTAACATCAACATGAAAAGACAAACGAAAATGAATTAAAAAAAGGAAAGAACAAACTATACAGAAATTAAACATCTGTCTGTATTTCTGTGATGAGCTATTGTAACTATTTACATTGTTCTCCTCGTCTTTATTGTCACATTCACAATGTTTCGGCTGTTGTATGCTCTGGCCTTCTGCAGGTGATATTTAAAAAAATTTCGAACCAAGCGAAATAGAATAGTCAATGAAACACCAATGTTGTAAATAGAATAAATAGTTAAAATACATTATCTCAGAGATAATACACATGTATTAAAGCATGTGTACTAAATAAAAGGTTCGGTTCGAAATGCCAACGTATATCACCTGAAGAAGGCCGGAATGAACATATATCGAAACGTCTTGAATATAACAATAAAGGTGAGAACAACAGTCCGAACAAATAATAAATAGTGAAAATATAAATTAAAACTTTAATAATATTTTTTTTAACATGCAAAGTGTATTGATGGATCTTATAGTTTAGTGGACAAAATTAAACCGTGGAAGATGTAGAGATAATTC